GCCACAAATGTATAAAACAAATATTATTGGATTTGAACGCGGAGTTTATTAATAGGTCGGAGCCGCTGATGTGGCTAATAAGTTCGATAAGTTCGAAAGGCTGCCGCTCAAGCAGCCTGCAGGGCAGCACAAGGTGGCAGCCTGCAGGGCAGCACAAGGTGGCAGCCTGCAGGGCAGCACAAGGTGGCAGCACAAGGTGGCAGCCTGCAGGGCAGCACACAAGGTGGCAGCCTGCAGGGCAGCACACAAGGTGGCAGCCTGCAGGGCAGCACACAAGGTGGCAGCCTGCAGGGCAGCACACAAGGTGGCAGCCTGCAGGGCAGCACACAAGGTGGCAGCCTGCAGGGCAGCACAAGGTGGCAGCCTGCAGAATTTTGCAGCAGCCGGATATCCGGTTATCCCGATTACCGACTTTCCCAAAATTTGAGGGGGGGCTGAGCCCCCCCCAGCCCCCCCTGTAGCTCCGCCCCTGCTGGCATGGCACACGAGGGGGTGGGTTGCCAGCACCACACACTGCTACTCTTGTCTCCCTTGTGGCAATGTTCACACACCACACTAGGTACTCATTTGAGGCTGAGTTGACTTAAGGAGAGGTCCATGACCAGTTCAGATATTAGTCACTGCTGTTGGTGGCCAGGAGCAGCAATCCGGGTTAATAGACAATTGAATAAACACAACAAAGACAAAGATCCCCCGTATAGCCTTAACAGATTGTTGGGGCAAGCGCTGTTCGCGAGCACATATGAAGGCCGGCACGGCACTACAGGGGGTGGGTGGCCAACACCATGCCCGGTCGCGTTTGTCTCCCTAGTGGCGATGTTTACACACCGCACCAGGTACTCATTTGAGGCTGAGTCGACTCAGGGGAGGCCCAGAACCGGTTCAGATAATCGTCGCCGGTGTTGGCCGCGAGCGGGAATCGAACTCAGGGTGCCGGGCTCGCAGCCCTGCAATATGTACACAATAATTGTGTGCAGCTTCTAAGCAAATGGTAAAAAAATAACTAAAGACGTTGGCCATACATGCAGGGTGTCCTCCGCGAAATAATTCGACGTCAGTTTGAACTGCGCCATCAAAATATTGTGGGGCACCACATTTTTTTTTAAATATACGCTCAAATTATTGTTTTTACGACGGAAAAAAACATCTCGGGTGACCTTCGCCGGCAAAGTAACAGAAGCACCTCACGGAGGCCACAGTCTGCGACTATCACGTGGCAACGCCAACGCCCTGGCCGCCACACGGAGCTAGCGAGCTCGATTCCCACTCACGGCCAACACCAGTGATGATTATCTCAACCGGCCCTGGGCCTCCTCTAGGTCGACTCAGTCTCAAATGAGTACCTGGTGCGGTGTCTTAGCATCGCCGCTGGGGAGACAAAGGCGGTCGGGCGTGGAGCTGGCCACCCACCCCCTCATGTACCGTTCCGGGCATCATAGGTGCTCGTTAACAGCACTTGCCCCAACAGTCTGTTAAAGGCTATATGGAGGATCTTTGTCTTGTACAGTTTTATGAACCCAGCTCAAAACGGCTAATTATAATTCTTTAATAAAGGCTGAAATCTGTATGGAGACCCCCTGCATATTGACATAGTGGAGCTCGATCAAATCACACACAATGATAAAATAGTACAAAATGGATATTGTGGGGATAACGCTATGCAGATAAACAATACATTTATAAACAGGGAGCTATTATTTTGCAATGGGTAATAATTAGTCACAACAGTGTAATTGGCCAAGAGAAAGTAAAAAACAATACCTGGTTCCGACTGGTGAGCAGTAGTCTTCATTATGCGAGCTACGGCATCAAGAGAGCAGATCTAAATTGTGTTAACCCTTCAACTGCGAAAAAACTCATCAAGGACTGTCTAAATTTCGATTTAAAGCTTTCGTGACTGCAATGATTCATCTTCTTTGGTTCTTTCGGTAAAGTCACGTAGAATGAGAATAAAATAATAAATTGATAAAATAAAATAACACAATAATATTCTCACGACGTTTCGGCCACAACACAAGCGGCCTTCATCAGGTGATCTGAACGTGGCTCTTTCACTCCAGCGCTGTCCTACCAGACAGTCTCGTCCCTTCACCTGATGAAGGTCGCTTGTGTTGTGGCCGAAACGTTGTGAGAATCTTATTGTGTAATTTTATTTTATCAATTTATTATTTTATTCTCATTCTACGTGACTTTACCGAAAGAACCAAAGAAGGACTGTCTATTTGCAATGACGGCAATGCGGGAGCGTTAAAACTCTCAACCCCACTCTGGGGGGGGGGGGGGGGGGGGGGGGGGGGTGTCGCATGGGAACGCGCCACATCTGAGAGCACGAACATTCGGTGGCGATGTTGAGCTGTCTGTCCCGTTCCCCTTGTGGGTTCTGAGGACCGCTATGCTCATCAAACGAGTAGATCACCGTCCCGTCTTATCTGCGTCTTGAATTAATCGCCGGATTATGCTCCAATCTATTCTCGTAACAAAGAGACGCGTCTTGGTGACAAGTTGCTGTGACGTAGGTGTTTGTCTCGTTCGATTTGTTTGGCAATGGGCCAACGGGCAGTGTGTCCTACGTGAATTCATATGGCTGTATAAGGGGAGGGCATCTTTCGTCCGTTATGCGGAGCAGTGGAATCCAAGTTCAATTCCTGGTCACCACGGGTGGCATCACAACTTGTTCTGGGTCTCCCCTAGGTCAACTCAGCCTTGAAAGTGAGTAGCTGATATGGCCTCGCATCTCCAGAAAGGGCATCTCGCATCCACAGGGCGTGCGTGCAGCCCAGGTTAAGAACCGCTGCTTAGACAGTGTGTATGGCTCCATGCGGAATCTTTGTGTTTGCACCGCAAGCCAGTCATTATCATCATCGGTAGCAGCAGCCATGATCAATCCACTGCTGAATGATTCCCACCCCGAAGCCATCTCCAGGATCTGCCCTGGCACCTTTCGCCATAGCTGTTGACGCGATGTCTTTAATGTTGCACGTGGTATATTTTTTTACCCCGTAAAAGCAAAGCGGACGGGCAGGTGGTAAGCTGGAGCTTTCCATTGAAAGCGGAAGTCAGCATTGGCAAGCAAAATTCAGAGGACGCCCAGATTGCTCGTCCATAAATTTTTCTGCAAAGCCCCTTCGCAACTCCATCACGAGCTGAGAAGCAGTAAAACCATTCCTGGGGATCGCCTTGCACAAGTGAGTCAAACACTCTGCTCGGTCCGTGCTGTAGTCGAGCGGCTTTAAAGACGCTCTGAGAAGCTTACACGTGGGCGGTGTGGCATTAAGACCAAAGACAAAGATTCCACCCCCCCACACCCCAGGTATAGCCCTAACAGCCTGTACGGGAAAGGTTATGTTAGCGAGCACCTATGAAGGCCGGCCTGGCACACGAGAGAGTGCGTGACCAGCACCAAATCGCCACTCACTAGTGGCGATGTTTTACCCACCACATCGGGTATTCATTTGAGGCTGAGTCGACCTAGGGGAGATCCCCCAGGACCGGTTCAGCAGATAACCATCACCGGTGTTGGTCGTGAGCGGGAATCGAACTCGTGCCACTGGGTTCGTAGCTCGGCATGCCAACCACTGCGCAAAGGCTCCCCACGGCGTTGAGATGCATACGCACGCACACCTGACTGATGGCTTCCGGTCTGCAATGAACACTTAAGAACGGGATTCTTTAACAACACTCACGCGTGCACATGTGGTCCTCTTTACGATTTAAAACTGAGTGGGTGGATACATCTGGTGGTCGACTAAATGGGGAAATAATTATAATTCAGAGTTGATTTGTAACCTAACAGAGCTTCTCTGCAGGAGCAAATTGCAGAGGGGCTCTCAACTGAAACAGCAGTGTCATTTTTTTGTGTTGATGAAATAAAAAAAGAAATAACAGCACATTCGTAATTTGGTTGAAAAATAATTGAGATGCTTTTCTGTAGAAAGTTACAAATGGTCTTTCATCCACTGAACAATGGCATTATCCTTAATCGTTGAATCAAATATAAAGAAAATATATAAACAAATTATCCCCAAAATGTCTAAATGCACGTATGTGGCTTTAATTCTAAGCATTACAAAAAAAGCCCCAAAAATAAAGTAACAATGTGTGCACTGTTGCAACAAAAAAGGACATTTTGTTATTTAAATTATCCCAATTGACAATGAATCATTCTAAAGGCTCTGAATGGATGCAGAGACTGAAGCTAAGCTGGGAAACGCCACCACAAAGAGGAGGGCAGAGGGAGGGGAAAGGGCGAGTGGGGGACATTGGGGCCTGACCTCAACACAAGGGTTAACGCTCTCATCAACAATTCCTTGAATTCAAAAAAGGAGATAATGTTTACGGGTAACATGATTAATTGCACGCACCTTCCCAGAGATCCACTGCTAAAGCAAAAAAAAAACAAAGATCCCCCTAAAGCCTTCAACAGACTGTTGGGGCAAGTGCTGTTAGCGAGCACCTATGCAGGCCGGAAACGGCACACGTGGGGTTGAGTGGCCCACACAACGCCCGGCCGCCTTTGTCTCCCCAGCGGCGATGTTTACAGACCGCACCAGGTACTCATTTGAGGCTGCATCAACCCAGGGGAGGCCCCGGACCGGTTGAGACGATCGTCATTCTGGTGTTGGCCGTGAGCGGGAGTCGAACTCGGGTCGCCGGGTTCGTAGCGCAGCGCGCTGACCGCTACACCACCGCTAAATGAGCACAGCAACACACCTTGCACCACGTGGGGCCACCTGAACAAACCCTCCCGCAGAGGCCAACTCCTTTAAAATTCACCCCCCCCCCAAACATCATTGCCTGCGGCGCAACGTTAAAAGACGTCAAATTCATTATTCGGGGGGCTGGGGGCGGTGGGGGAAGGGGGCGGGGGGAGGACTCGAGGGTTAACGGCAAGGCTGAGAGAAGCTCATCTGTCAGAGCGCGGGCGGGCGGGCGGGGTCGCGGCGGCAGCTGAACGCGCATCTGCGTCGGCGTCAGCACGGTAACACGAGAGCGGCTCTCACCTTGCCGGGCGTACTTGTTGGGGTCCCTGGAGGCGAGCCCATACCCCGCCAGGCCCGCCGCCTCGGCTTCGTAGAGCGAGTCCCCCGCGGGGGGGTAGGGGTGACGAGCGCGGGCGCCCGGGTGACCCAGACACTCTTCGCCGCACGAACTCTGCTGCTGCTGCTGCTGCACGGCGCGCTGCTGCTGCTGCTGTTGCAGCTGCTGCTGTTGCTGCTGTTGCAGCTGCTGCTGGTGGTGGAGGTGGTGGTCGTCGCGGCTCGGTGCGCCGATCGAGTACTGGCACTCCTTGGCCGGACGGTTCTGCGAGAGCGAGTGGTACTGACGCAGCTCCTTCACCTCCATGGCAGCGCGTGGACGTCACCGTGGGATCCCGGGAGGGCTCACGCGGCCGCACCGCACGCACCTGGGGAGGAAACATCGCACACTTTGCTCGAGCGCCAAGGGAGCCTGCGGGTTGTTTTTTTTTTTATACAACAGAGGGTGAATGGTAATCATCATTTATATAAATTACGCACGTTTTTTTTTTCCACGGCTTTTGTACAGTGCGCGTCTTTTAAAAGGATTGAGGCTGGACCGATGAATATTTGAGCAATCTGGTTGTTTGTTATTGTTGTTGTTGTGGTGTGTGTGTGTGTCCCACCGCTGACTGAAGAGTTGCGCAAATAAGCAGACGGCACGCATCACGAACAAGGGACGCGAGAAAGAAAATCTCGTGGAGCGATCCACGTTTTGGAATGACACGAGCCAGACAGAGAAGGGGAACACGTGCAGGAGAGGACGCGCGCCTGCCCAACGGCATCGTTAAACCACCCGCGAGGGAAGAATCATTGCGCTTGAGCAGGAAACTAGAACAAGGCAGGTTGGACGATGGACAAGAATAACAAACGGGTGTGGCGTCCAAAGAACGGAACGGCACCCCGGAGGACGCCCGCGGAGATGGAGCGACGGAATTAGCTCGCGTGCAGGCGCCGGGTGGAGCGCTACGTCGCAGGATCGTAAGAAAGATGGTAGAGACAAGGGAGGCATTCATCCAGCGGTAGATTGACCGTGAACAATGATTACGACGATGATAGAATTCCATTGTTATTATTTTGGAGGAATTGTGGTGGCACAGAGAGAGAGAGAGAGATGCCACACACAGCACCATATCCCCACATCCTTCCTACCGCAAATTGATTGATTGATGTCCTTTATTTAACTGGAGCAGAGATAAAGCAACACAATGACAACCATAATCAGATCAATTCAGTTTATATTTAAACTCGAAGATGAGACGCTCACAGGAATACACACACACGTACCTTTCACAAGCGATTATAAAATGACAATTATCCGAGTACCGAGCACTTAGCAACGTCGAATTATCGCCGCAACAGCGTCGCTGCCGAGTTGAGGAGCCTATCGAGAACTGGTGCTGCTGGGCACCCTCTGGTGGCTCTTCCCAGACGCAGTGGGTTCTGCGCCGACTGCATGAATGTGCCGCGTGACTTCTGCTCGGTAGGGCCCGGTTTGAATGAAGTGAAACGTTAACAACGGATCGAGCAAAAAGAACCCCCCACTCACGTCAACGACACTTCTTGTGATTGTTTGGCGAGACAGACGTTTGCTTTGAGGCAGTGAAACCTAAATATTTTCATTTACAGAGGTATTCTCTCATTAACAGGAAGCGTATCCCTGTCGCAAGATATTTTATTGTATTGAATGGTAACTCACGGTGATTGATTAAGGGCCAATGCATACGCGCCGCAAACTTTACGTTAAAGATGTCATCAAGCATCTAAACTTAGTTTCCCATACTGTCTTCTTCACTTTCACTGCGTAGGTTTTTACAGCTGCGCTGTACGGCTCTCCGATGTGCATAGTTGATGAATGAACCAATCAACTAAACTAATGTCCGACGTTTCACTCCACGTGACGGGAGCCTCTGCAGCTACCAGCGTGTTTTGCTCGAATGCCTGTACTTCATTACGATAACGCCAGATGCTCAACGTCTCCCCCAAGACACCCGCTGCAATTTTATTTCCTTTTGCTCAACGATAAAAAAATGGGAATTCCTGTAAATTAATGGGGATTCATACGGCGTTTTTTTCTGGATACACACGAGAGCAAACACAATGTTTACCAGGGTGTTGGCACGTTAAGCTTACATTACGGTCACGGGTTAGCTGACACAACCTCGTTTTCATAATCAGCAACATCCTTGCTCATTTCACTACTAGATTGAAAGCGTTCCCAAGCCTCTGCCATCTCACAAACCCATTTTGATGCAACAATCCACCGACGGCTGTTACCACGAACCAACCTCATCGCTCCATCTCCTCCGTGGTCAGCTATTCCCCTCAGGAGGCACTTTGTTTCCCTGGCTGTCATTCTGTCACTATTCTTAATCATCGGAGCAGCATCCCCTTTCAGTGATCGGATCCTGCCCGTGCCCACCGACTTTTATTTCAAGTATTAGTGAAATAATTAAAACTGCCGTTTTTTCACTTCTGTTTCTCAATGTAATTCCAAGCATACGGACACAACTGCAAGATACTAATCAAGGTTTATCAGAAGGTTTTTTTTGTCTGCTTGTTACAAGGAATGTCGTGTCTGGCCTTTACCTCCAAGTGATTCTTGTGCACACAAAGTAACACGTTTTAAAACATCTCGCGTCACGATTCAGTGACTGGTTCAAAATAAATATTTCCTCCTCATGGCGCACATCGAATAATGAGTGTAAGAATTTATCATTTGTGGTTTACATAATTATTGTGCTCAAAGGCTACATCTAGCCCAGTGGATCAAAGGAGGTGGGTCATGTAAAACAATGTAAACGATAAAATGTATTATAAAGTGTATAAAGTGATATTACGGAGCACATTGTATCACATAAAAAACAGACAAAAGTCCATATTTCTGTATTCTTTGGGTCTTTCGGTAAAGTCACGTAGAAAGGTTCAAAGAAAATAACAAAAAACTACGACGTTTCGATCGCAACACAAGCGGTCATCATCAGAAAAAATGAGGTTAGCCTCTAAAGGCAAACTTAATAAAGGTTTGAAATGGGCGTAGCCCAAATGTCATCAGCATGGGCGGGGCAGCTAATGTTAATGTAGTGATGGTACTCGTAGAGGGCAACGACGACGCTGGTGGTGGGTTTCCACCAATTAAAGTGCTGCCAAGTAATCATTGCACCTCGCTTTACACACTCACACTGTTGATGATGGAGGTTGCTGGTGATGGTACTTGTCGAGGGCCACTAATGCACTGGTGGTGAGCTTCCACGAATAAAGGGCTACTGTTAGTGGTGATGGTAGTAGTGGGCAGTGATGGTCCCGTTGGTGGGCTTCCACCAATTAAATTAAATGGATGCCAGGTCTAAAATGGAAACATTAGAGCCAGTCATGACTTAAACTGGTTGATCACATCCTTCCAGTGATTGCTGAGTTTGTATCCATCTTCTCAGTTGAAATTGTGTCTATGTCTGTATATGTGGATGGCTTCATGAACGAATCTTTGTTGAGATCCAGTGGGTTTGCAAAGTACCTTCGTCTTAGAGAAATAAATTTCGTGTCAGCCCACCGCATTAAAACAATGATCAGCCACGGCCGAGGTATTCGTCCTACCATGTTTCAGATCTGCCTTATGTTCACGAACACGGTCTGAGACATGTCGCTTAGTTTCCCCAATGTAACTACTGCCGCAGACACAGCTTAGTTTATAGACGCCGGGGTATTGCATGTCAGGGATCACATCCTTCACAGATGGGATCAGATAACGAATTTTACGTACTGTGTTTTAATTGGTAGAAGCCCACCACCGGGACCATCACTGCCCACTACTACCATCACCACTAGCATAGCCCTTTATTCGTGGAAGCCCACCACCAGTGCCGTCGTGGCCCTCTTCGAGTACCATCACCTCTAGCAGCAACCTCCACCTTCAAGAGTGGGGGTGTGTAAAGCGAGGTGCAATGATTACCTGGCAGCCCTTTGATTGGTGGAAACAAACCACCAGCGCCGTCGTTGACCGCTACGAGTCCCCTCACATTAACATCAGCTGCCCCGCCCATGCTGCTGACGCTTGGGCTACGCCCATTTCAAACCTTTATAAACAGTTTGCCTTGAGAAGCTAACCCCCTTTTCCTGATGATAACCACTTGTGTTGCGATCGAAACGTCGTAGTGTTTTGTTATTTTATTTGAACCTTTCTACGTGACTTTACCGAAAGACGCAACGAATATGAATTCCTTGCAGTCACAAAATCTTTAAATCCATATATCTGCGTATACAAATAATGTATTTATTTATATTTCAGCTGCCTATGGGCTTTCCAGAGACTGCTTGCCTAAACAAATGTTGTTGTGAAATATTGCTCCGGAAAAGAGCCGCAGACTGACGGACTGTAAAAATATTGCTTTTCATTATTATGCAAGAGAGATGGACTTTTTATTTTAAATAAAATTTCTGGCATGGAAAAAGGTTGAGAGCATGAATACTTATATACGCTGAACGCATATTCTAATATGTATTATAAAAGCCCGGCATTCCATTTGTTAATCAACTAAATTATGAGAGCCTTTCAGAAGGCTTGAATAAAATAGTTATAGAATGTGGACCCCCCCCCCCCACCAGACGTGGGGGTAAAAGTTGATCCAACAGATTCACAACAATTGTCGACCACCTCCAACCCCAAAAAAAAGAAATGTCTTTTGTCGGCATATATGCCCTACACACCCTATATACAATATCGTCAGTCGTACAGAATATGCCTACACGCTCTACATATAAGAGTCAGTAGTATCTACTGCACACCCTACATACTATAGAGTTGGATCGTGGAGGTATAAGAGTACATGTTTTGTCTGCTGTAACCCTCCACCACCAAACAGAGACAATTCAATCAAGTTGTTGGCAAAATGTGGACATATTGTACAACATTTTTAAACATTTTGCTCGCTTTTGAATATTCGCCCTGTTTGTTGAAAAAGAAAATCAATTTGCATGTTTGCACACGTGAAACCTTCATTTGATTGCCTCTGTCAGGCGGTGGAGGGTTTTAAATGTTAAAATGATGATATTATCACTGCAAAATATAACTGAAAAGAAACTAATCACCAATCAATATATCGGTTGTGAAAGCATACGTATAAATTTTTACTCACTAAATACGAGATACTTTCTGGCTTCTTTCATGCGAAAACTTTTCAAACTATTCCAAAATATATACAAAGCACTTACAGACCCTGTCAATCCGTCGGTTCAGCTATCACTCGCCACTGATGTTAGCCGTGGCTAGGAATCAAACTCAGGTTGCCAGGTTCAAAGCATGACCTGCTCCACCCTACACCGACCATTCTACCTCTCATTAAATCATGAGGTGCATAAGGTTTCACTCTGGCAACTGAAACAATATGTTCAT